AAAAAAAAAAAAAGAAAAGAAAAAAAAAAGAGAGAAAGAGAGATGGTAGTCAGGTGGTGATGAATGCTTTGGAGAAAAATAAATTGAATGCCCGGAGCCCGTCTCCCCTCCTATGCAGGCCGGACAGGTGAGGCCCGGCCAAGCATCAGACTCCGGGGCAAAGTTTGTAATTTGCTGTTGCTGCCGCCTGCCCTCCGGGTTAGGGAAAAAACTCTGTCCCTGAATGTTTAGTGAGTCTGCTTGGCCTTTTGATTCTGCAGTGATTAAATGCCAGGCTATTGGGAATTAGTTTTATTCTAATTCAAGGTTAAATGTGGAAAAGACCTTCCTCCTCTCCATCCATCAAAATTCAGCTATGGATCTTTTGGAGGTGTCAACCGCTCTTTGAAGCCTTCTCTGACCTCCCTCCCGCCCCAGCTGCACCGAATCCCTCCTCTCTCTGCTTTTATAGCATTTAACCTACAGTTCTGCTGTACTGCATTGCATTCCATTTAATATGGAATTACGTGCTCGTGGGCTCTGTTTTCCAATCAAATTTCCAGTTTCCCTGGAGGCAGAGAGGTTCTTTTTCACTGTCTTCTCACCTGTTTCCATCTCCTCCCACCTGCCCAAGGAACTTTAGGATGCTCGGTACATAGTAGTTGTTCAATTAACTATTGATTGAAAGAAAGACACCTTAAAGCACGCTCAGCAGTGTTGACATGCGATTTGGAATACATGAGTTTCTTATCTGCTTTCTGCTGACTTCCCAGGCGAACGGAATTTTTCACTAGTTTTCTTAGAACATGAGCCGTGACTATTTCTTAGGAAAAGCCTTTCAAAGTTAAGACTTTCGAATGAAAAAAAAAAGGCTTTTGAATGAAATAACAACAGGCAGTGGGAACAAGAACATCAATAAAAATATACTTATCGTGTCTTTTCTCATTGCAGAGGAACACATATTCGTTGTAGAAAGTTGAGAAAATATATACAAGCACACAGGAAATAAAAACCACTTTCATTAAATCATTCTCTCAAAAGAGATCTATTGAGTCATTACTACCCTCTAGGTACATGCAAAACATCGGAAATATAACAGTAAATAAGATAGGCCAAGTTCTGTTTTCACAGAAGAGAGATATTAAACAGATAATTATCACTTACAGTTAATGAACTACAATTTTCATAATTCTTACACATGAAGACAGTTCAAGGTGGCGTTCAGACTAGCGCGTGGGTGTCGGCCCTGAGACCACAGAGCTAGAGGACGACTAGTAAAAGCCCCTATTCTTAACATTTTAGGTAAACGGATTCTTCAGTTTAGCCATCGTCTCCCCAACACGTGGAGAAAGGGCATTTAAGAAAAATCCGGAGGCCGGGCAAGGAGGCTCACACCTGCAACCCTAGCACTCTGGGAGGCCGAGGCTGGAGGCCTGCTCAAGGTCAGGAGTTCGAAACCAGCCCGAGCAAGAGCGAGACCCGGTCTCTACTATAAATAGAAAGAAATTAATTGGCCAACTAAAAAAATATATATAGAAAAAATGAGCCGGGCGTGGTGGCGCATGCCTGTAGTCCCAGCTACTCGGGAGGAGGCTGAGGCAGGAGGATCGCTGGGCGCAGGAGTTGGAGGTTGCTGTGAGAGCGAGAGGCCACCCCGGGGGACAGAGTGGAGACTG